GTACAACTAAAGCACTTAATGGTGAAAGACTGAATGTTTTCCCCCTAAGAACAAGAAAAAAAAAAAAAAGGCAAGGATATAAGGATATCCATTCTTTTTTTTTTTTTTTGAGACAGAGTCTCGCTTTGTTGTCCAGGCTAGAGTAAGTGCCGTGGCGTCAGCCTAGCTCACAGCAACCTCAAACTCCTGGGCTCGAGTGATCCTTCTGCCTCAGCCTCCCGAGTAGCTGGGACTACAGGCATGCGCCACTATGCCCGGCTAATTTTATATATATATATATCAGTTGGCCAATTAATTTCTTTCTATTTATAGTAGAGACTGCTCAGGCTGGTTTTGAACTCCTGACCTTGAGCAATCCGCCCGCCTCGGCCTCCCAAGAGCTAGGATTACAGGCGTGAGCCACAGTGCCCGGCCTAAGGATATCCATTCTCACCATGGCTATTCAACATAGTACTGGAAGTTTTATACAGTGCTATGGGCAAGAAAGAGAATAAAAAGCATACAGATCATAAACAAAGAAATAGAACAACCTCCTATTTGCAGATGAAGTGATTGTCTATACAGAAAATCCCAAAGAATAACAAAAATCCCCACAAATAATAAACAAAAAACCAAAGCAAAAAAAAAAAAAAAGCCTTCTCAGAACTAATAGTACTAGTAGTTAACTAAGGTTATATATAAAATAAACATACAAAAATTAATTGTATTCCTGTATACTAGCAATGAACATAAGGTAGACACCTAAATTAAAAATAAAATGCCATTTACAATAACTCAAAACAAAATTAAATACTTACGTGTAAATCTAACAAAATGTATAGAATTTGTATGCTGAAAACTACACTGAAAGAAATGAAAGACAATCTAAATAAAGGGAGAGACATATTGTGTTCATGGATTAGAAGCATCAACACAGAAAAGATGTCAGTTCTATACAAATTTACATACAATTTTAATGTAGTTCCTATAAAAATCCAGCAAAATGTCTATAGATATAAATAAGCTTATTCTAAAATTTATATGAAAACCAAAGGACTAGAATAGCTTAAAAAATTTGAAAAAGAAGAATAAAGTGGGAGGAACCTTTCTACCCAATTTCAAGGCTTTTTGTTTATCTAAATAAAGATTATGTGGTACTGATGGAGGGACAGACACATAGAACAGAATACAAAAACCAGAAATAGAACCATGCAAATATGCCCACTTAATTTTCAACAAAGGTGCAAAAGTTATTAAACAGAAGAAAGATAGCCTTTTCAACAAATGGCATTAGAGTGAGTGCACAGCCATTGATACTCTGGGTAATACTTATTAAAAAAAGTAAACATGCAACTACTATGAGCCCAGCAACTGCACCCCTGGATGTTTATCCCAGAAAAACAAAAATTTTGTTTTATTTCTTCCCTCTAATTTTGAAGTTATACACTCTGTCCATCCATTTAGTAATTAACTTAATAATTTTAATATGCATGATTAACTTTAAAAAACTATAACCAATCTTTAACATCATCCTAGAAAACACAACTTTTAGAATACTTAACTATGATTACAATATCCCAACTTACATGCTATTGTTTTCAAGAATTCTGGTATATTTCTCCCATAATTGAGACATTAGTTTTATAATATTATATGGTTGCCATGGCCTGAATGTTATGTACCCCCCCAATTCATATGTTGATAACTATTTACTAGTAGAATAGTATTACGTGGCAGGCCTTTGGGAGGTGATTAATTCATGAGGGCAGAGCCCTCACAAATGGGATTAGTGCCCTTATAAAACAAGCCAGTCGGGTGTGGTGGCTCATGCCTGTAATCCCAGCACTTAGGGAGGATGAGATAGGAGGAGAGATTGAGCCCAGGCATTCAAGACCAGCCTGGGCAACATAGCAAGACTCTATCTCTTAGGGAAAAAAAAAAAAAAAAGAAGCCTTAAGGAGCTTGTTTGCCCCTTCCACTGTGATGTGAAGATGCAGGGAGAAGGCATCGTCTCAAAGCAGAGAGTAAGCCTTCACCAGATACTGAATCTGTTGGTAACTTTATGGTGGACTTCCCAGCCTCCAGTACTGTGAGCAAGAAATTTCCTTTGTTTATAAATTACCTAGTTTAAGATATTTTGTTATAGCAGATGAATAAGATGACTAAGGCAAAAGTCATTTTTTAAAAATTTGTTCACATATTTACCATTATTTTTGCTCTCCTTTTCTTCTTGTATTGTTGACTCTCCATTTGAGATGAGTTTTCTTCTGCCAGAGTATATCTTTTAAATTCCTTAAATGAGGTTCTTTTGGTTATAAAATCTCCTCATTTCATTAGTAAAGTGACATTTGCTTTCCCTCCTTCTTGAATAAGTTTGCTGGATATAAAATTCTTGATTAAGTTATTTTCTTTCAGTATATTGAAGGGATTATTCCAATATCTGCTGTTTAGATTACTGTTATTAAGAGGTTACCAATCAGTCAGACTGCTGTTTAACTTTCGGTATGCTGTGTTTTCTCTCTAATATTTTAAAATTTGTCTTCATAAAACTGTAAAATTTACATTTGTCAAAATACTATCAATAAAAATAAAAGGTACATAACTAATTAGAAAGAACACTATAAATAAAATTTGAAATCTTCAAAAACCTCATAAATCAGTAAGAAAGCATTCCAATCTAAAAATTCACAAAGTATATAAATATTTAATTTACAAAAAAGAAAACAGAGACAGTTAAAAATATGTTAAATGTTTAATTTTGTTATCAAGCAAGGAAATGCACATGTAAATAACAATCCACTGGGAAAGAATCAAAATTACAACGTCAAGATACAGGGAATTGTGCATTTTCCCCCACAATGTTATTTAAGTATAATTAACATATCATACAATTCACTTTCTGGTAGTTTGTATATGTCTTTTTCTGTATTTTACACTCTTACTACTGTATCATGTGACTAGGTATACATTTCTTTTTTATTCACTTTGCTAGGGATTTGTTTGAATTCTTAAATCTGAAAATTGGCATCTTTCAAAAATTTTGAGATTTGGTTTTTGGTCAATCTATCCTTAAGTATTTCCATTTCCTCATTTTGTATCATCTCCTTCCGAACTCCAGTTTGATTATATTTTATATTTTCTCACTCTATCCTCCATGCTTCTTAATATCTCCATTGTTTTTTTCTCTTTGTTAATGTGAGCTGAATTTCAGATGATTTCTTCAAAAATAATTTCATCTAGCTCCCCAATTCTCTCTTAAATTGCGTATAATCTCTAGTCTAATCCATCCATTAATTTTTAAAATTTTCATATTTTACATATCTAAATAGATGTTTAGTTCTTTTCCAAATCTGTTTGTTCCTCCATATAAATTTAAAGATATATATTTTTTTAGCTCTTTAAATACATTGCATTTGTTAAAATTCTGTTTCATAATACCAGGATTTTAAGTCTTTCAGGATCCATCTGTAATATCTTATTCCTTATGGTGTATTAATTGCAATGTGTTTTTGTCACCTTTAGCCCCCACCCCCATCACCCTTTTGGGACTAGGTTAAGTAGAATTCTTCCAGAGAGGATTCACTTCTGTCCATTGCTTAGAACACTTCCAACCCAGAGCCACATTAAATTCAGTTCTCTCCTGCTTTATGTTTTTCAGACTGCATGTGTAAGTCCTTATGCAGTTATGATGTGGAGGAGAAAACAGGTGGATTAAAACTCCCCTTCAGAGCTAAAGACACTTGAAATGTTAACTCTGGGTCAAAATTGTTTAATAAAAAAAATGGACTGAGTTGATTCTGTGATCTAAATGCTATGATATGTGTATTGAACTAAAGCTATGCTAGAATTGCTATGCTCTGTGCAAAGATCTGAAGATACCATATGGAACTTGAACCATGTTATTCAGATTGTTTATTTTATGAGTTATAATTAATGGAACCTAGCTATCAAAAATCTCTTATGAAGCTATGAGATTTAGGGAAATAAAAAAGTTGGGTGGGAAAAGGGGAAAGATAGCAGCTCTCCTGTGTTGAGGTGGTCGTTCATCCTGCCTGTCTCACTTGTCTTTTGAAACCTAGTGTACCTCCTATGATGCTGAAGTCTGGAAGCTGTGCCTGAAATATTGCAGAAATGTTTTATGACAATATATATGTTATATATATTACATTTCCTGTCCTATAGCTTTACATAATTATGATAAGGTATATACAACGTAAAATTTGCCATTTTAACTAATTTTAAGTATATAATTCAGTGGCAATAAGTACATTCACATTGTTGTGCAACCATCACTACTGTCCATCTCTAGAACATTTTCATCATCCCAAACAAACTTCCCAATCTCTCTCTCCTAGCCCCTTTTAACCACTGTTTTCTTTCTCTACATAGGCCTTTGGTTATTCTAGATACTTCATATAAGTGGAATCATACAATATTTATCCTTATATAATCTGGGTGATTTCACTTAGCATAATGTTTTTAAGGTTAATCCGTGCTATAGCATGTATTAGAGTTATAACAGTTCTTACGGTTGAATAATATTCCATTGTATGTATAACACATTTTGTTTATCCATTCATCAGTTAATGGACATTTGGGTTGCCTCCACCTTTTGGCTAATGTGAATAATGTTTCTATGAACACTGGTGTACAAATATCTTTTAGAGTTCCTGCCTTCAGTCCTTTTGGATATATATCCAGAAGTGGAGCTGCTGGATCATATGGTAATTCTATGCTTAATTTTTTTGAGGAAATTCTATATTGTTTTCTACAGCAGTTGCACCATTTTACATGCTCACCAGCAATGCACAAGGGTTCCAATTTCTCCACACCCTTACCTTGCTTGTTATTTTCTGTTTTATTTTTTTATTCTATAGTAGCCATCCTAATGAGTTGAAGTCGTATATCACTGTGGTTTTGACTTGCATTTCCCTAATGACTAGTGATACTGAGGACCTTTTCAAGTGTTTAACAGTCACTGGAGTATCTCTGCAGAAATATCAATTGAAGTCCTCTGCCCATTTTTTTTCTCATTAAACTCTGTTTTAATGGGTCTCAAAATTCTGTGACAGATTTTTGGTCAAGTTGTTTCCATTAAAAAATACTGATTTTAAAAACTAATAACTTAAAACTGCCACAAGAAAAGAAACAAAAGTGGTCACAAAACATTCTCCTTTCCTTCTGAAGGTTTTACGAGGCGTTGTTATTAACAACCAGTCTTTTACTATTAAACATAAATGGGCAATTGAAACAAACAGTTGTGAGACCGTTCTTCCACCACTGATTAAGAGTGGAGTGGTAGGTATTAGGGATAATATTCATTTAGCCTTTTGAGCTTTCTGGGCAGATTTGGTGACTTTGCCAGCTCCAGCAGCCTTCTTGTCCACTGCTTTGATGACACCCAGCAACTGTCTGTCTCATATCATGAACAGCAAAACGACCCAAAGGAGGATAGTCTGAGAAGCTCACGACGTATGTGGGCTTGCCAGGAACCATAGGGGACAATGGCAGCATCACCAGATTTCAAGAATTTAGTGCCATCCTCCAGCTTCTTTCCACAGCTGCGATCAATCTTTTCCTTCAGCTCAGCAAACTTGTAGGCAATAAGAGTTGTGTGACAATCCAGTACAGGAGCATAGCCAGTGCTAAATTGGCCTGGATGGTTCAGGATAATCACCTGGTGGTTCAGGATAATCACCTGAGCAGTGAAGCCAGCTGCTTCCATTGGTGGGTCACTTTTCCTGTCACCAGCAATGCTGCCACAATGAACATCTTTGACAGACACATTTTTGACATTGAAGCCCATACTGTCCCCTGGAAGAGCTTCACTCAAAGCTTCATGGTGCATTTCAGCAGACATTACTTCAGTTGTAACATTGACTGGAGCAAAGGTGACTACCATGCCAGGTTTGAGAACATCAGTCTCTACTCAGCCCATAGGGACAGTGCCAATACCACCAATTTTGTAGACATCCTGGAGAGGCAGACGCAAGGGCTTGTCAGTTGGATGAGTTGGTGTCAGGATGCAATTCAGAGCTTCAAGCAGTGTGGTTCCACTGGCATTGCCATCTTTACAGGTGACTTTCCATCCCTTGAACTAAGGCATGTTATCTCTTGGCTCCAACATGTTGTCACCATTCCAACTAGAAATTGGCACAAATGCTATTATGTCAGGGTTGCAGCCAATTTTCTTAATGTAAGTGCTGACTTCTTTAACAGTTTCCTTATATCTCTTCTGGCTGATGGGTGGCTCAGTGGAATCCATTTTGTTAACACCAGCCAATGGTTGTTTCACACATAGTATGTAAGCCAGAATGGCATGCTCATGGGTCTGCCCATTCTTTGAGATACCAGCTTCAAATTCACCAAAACTAGCAGCAACAATCAGGACAGAACAGTCAGCCTGAGATGTGCTTGTAAGCATGTTTTTGATAAAGTCTCTGTGTCCTGGGGCATCAATAATAGTCATATGGTATTCGCTGGTTTCAAATTTCCACAGGGAGATATCAATGGTGACACCACACTCATGCTCAGCTTTCAGTTTATCCAAGACCTAGGCATACTAGAAGGAGCCCTTTCCATTTCAGTGGCCTCCTTCTCAAATTTGTTGATGGTTCTTTTCTCGATCCCATCATATTTGTAGATCAGATGGCCAGTAGTGGTGGACTTGCCTGAATCTATGTGTCCGATGACAACGATGTTGATGTCAGTCTTTTCCTTCCCCATTTCGAGTTTTATGGGTGGTTTTTATGGCACCTGTGTTCTGGTGGCAAACCCACTGTGAAAAAGCCTCTGTCCATTTTTAAATTGCTTTTGTTGTTGCTATTGAGTTGTAGAAGTTTTAAAATATACATATATTTTGAATATTAATCCCTTACCAGATATGTGATTATGAACATTATTTTGATTGTGTTGGTTGCCTTTTTTACTTTGTTGATAATGTCCTTTGACATACAAAGATTTTCAACATTAATGAAGTCCAATTTACTTAGTTTTACTTTTGCTGCCTATACTTTTGGCATCATATTCAAGAAATGATTGTCAAATCTAATGTCATGAAGCTTCCTCCCACTGCATGGTGTTCTTCTTAGAGTTTTATAGTTTTAGCTCTTATTTATAGGTCTTTTATCCATTTTGAGTTAATTTTTATACACAGTAGGCAATGACCCAATTTCATTCATTTGAAAGTGGTTATCCAATTTTCCCAACACCATTTCTTTAAAAGTCTGTTCTTCCCGATTGAATTGACAGTCTTATTGAAAATTATTTGGCCCTATATGCAAGGGTTTATTTCTAGACTCTTAATTCTGGTCCATTGGACTATATGTCTCACTTTATGTCAGTATCACATTGTTTTGATTACTGTGGCTTTATAGTAAGTTTGAAATCAGGAAGTGTGAATCTTCAACTTTGTTGTTCTTTTTCAAAATTATTTTGGCTATTTGTGGTCCCCTGGGATTCCATATGAATTTTAAAATGGATTTGTCTTTTTCAGCAAAAAAAAAGAGAAGTCATTGGGATTTTGATAGAGACTGCATTAATTCTGTAGATTGCTTTAGGTAATATTGAGATCTTAAGTCTTCTAAGAATATGGAATATCTGTCCATTTATTTAAATCTTCTTTAATTTCTTTCAGCAATGTTTTGTAGTTTTCAGTGTGTTTCATCTCCTTGATTAATTCTTAGGTATCTGATTCTTTTTGATGCTATCATAAATGGACTTGTTTTCTTAATTTTCTTCTTGGATACTTCATTGTTACTATATAAAAATACAACTGATTTTTATATTCTGATTTTGTATTCTGTAAATTTGCTAAATTCATTTATTAGCTCTACTATTAATAATGATATTTTTAAGGAATTTTAAAGGTTTTCTACATATATGATCATGTCAAACAGATAAGTTTACTTCTTTTCCAATATGGACATTTTATTTCTTTTTACTGCCTAATTGCTCTGGCTATAAGTTCCAATACTACACTGAATGGTATGTGGAGAAAGTGGGCATCCTTATCTTTTTTTTTTTTTTTTTTTCTTGAGACAGAGTCTCACTTTGTTGCCCAGGCTAGAGAGCTGTGGCATTAGCCAAGCTCATGGCAACTTCAAACTCCTGGGCTCAAGCAATTCTTATTTGTGAATTTTCCAGTTTTCCTTCTGTTACTGATTTCAAACTTCATCCTCTTTTTGGAGGATATACTTTGAAGGATGTACTCTTTTGGAATAAACTTTTTATTATATCCATTTAAAAAAATCTATCAAGACTTGTTTTCTGGCCTAACACATGATCTATCTTGGAAAATGTCCCATGCACACTTGAGAAGGTGTATTTTGTTTTTGGGTGAAGTGTTCTATACATGTGGGTTAGATCTAGTTTATTTATTGTGTTGTTCAAGTCCTATAGTTCCTTATTCAACTTTTGTCTGGTTGTTCTATCAATAATGGATAGTTATGGAAAGTGGGGCATTACCATTTTTCAGCTATTATTGCACAACTGTCTATCTCTTCCTTCAATTTTATCAATTCATCTATTGATGAATTCAATCTATTGATGCTTCATCTATTATAATGGCCTATTAAGTGCATACATGTTTTTAAGTGTTTTAGTATTGTGCTCTATTGAACCTTTTAATAACATATATTTTTTTGTCTCTTGTAAACTTTTTTTGATTTAAGACAAACTTTTTAAATTTAAAGTCTATTTATCTGATATTATACCCACCCCGGGTCTCTTTTGGTTACTATTTGCATGACTATCTTTTCCTGTCCTTTCACTTTCAACTTATTTATGTCTTTTGGATCTAAAATGAGTTTCATGTAGGTAGCATATAGTTGGACCATGTTTTTCTATCCATCCTGCTAATCTCTGAGGATTGATTGGAAAGTTTCATCCATTTACACTTAAGGTAATCACTAGTAACAAGAGACTTCTACTATTTTCTTAAGGATTTTCCATATGACTTATAGCTTTTTTATTCCTCATTTCCTCCATTACTGTCTTCTTGTGTTTAGTTGATTTTTTTTTTTTTAGTGAAACATTTTAATTCCCTTCTCATTTCCTTTTTGTATATTCTATAGCTATTTTCTCCATAGTGGTTACTATGGAGATAACATTTAACATCCTAAAGTTATAATATTATAATTTGAATTTATACCAGCTTAATTTCAATAGTATACAAAAACTTTGCTCCTATACTGCTCTGTCCCCACCCTTTCAGTTATTAATGTCACAGATTACATCTTTATGCATGTGTGCCCCAAAACATAGATTAATTTTTATAATGCACATCTAAGAAGTTGAGTGTAATTCTTATCTTTGTTCCTCAATAGATAAGATGTTTGTTTTCCTCTGGCCTCTTTCAGAATTTTTTCTTTAATTTTCTCTTTTACTTCCTTCCTGTTTACTTTGTTAAAAGTGATTTTTACTGTAGTATGTTTTACTTTATTGCTTTTTATTTTTTGTGTATCTTGTAGGTTTTTTGATTTGAGATTACCATGAGGCTTGCAAACAACATTTTATAATCAATTATTTTAAACATATGACAACTCTGCTTACAAACAAACAGAGAAATCTAAGAAATTCTACTCTTTAATCTTTAATTTTCAGTAGTTTGAAAATGATTTGCCTAAGTATAGTTGTTTTGGGCACTGATGCTCTTTGAATTTCCTGGATCTGCAGTTTGGTGTCTGACATTAATTCAGGGAAATCTTAGTCATTATTTTTTCAAGTACTTCTTCAAAGAAATAATTAATGAAAATTGTTGCTTTTTCTGTACATTTGCAGCTTTCTTCCTCTCTTTCTTTCCTTTTGGTATTCCCACTTTTGTTTATGTTACACCTTTTACAGTTCTTGGATATTCTATTCTGCGTTGGATTTTTTTTTCAGTCTGTTCTCTTTGCTTCTCAGTTAGAGAGGTTTGTATTAAGAGATCCTCAAAGTCAGAAATTTTTTTTCTTGAGCTGTGTCTACTAATAAGCCCACCAAAGGTATTCTTCATTTCTGTTACAGCGTTCTTGATCTCTAGCATTTCTTTTCAGTCTTTTCTTAGGAGTTCCATCTCTGCTTACATTGCCCATCTGTTCTTAGATGCTACTTTGTCCATTACAGACCTTAGCATACTGATCATAGTTATTTTAAATTCCCAGCCTGATAATTCCAACCTTCCTGCCATATCTGATTATGATGTTTGCTTTGTCTCTTCACATTGTGTTTTTTTGCCATTTGGTATGCCTTCTGGCCTCCAATGTTTCCGATGAGAAATCTACTTATATAACACCTTATTGATGGTCCCTGGTATGTGATGAGTTGTTTTTCTTTTGGTGCTTTCAATATTTTCTTTGTCTTTCAACAGTTTGATTATAATGTGTGTTGGTGAGAGTTTCATTCAATTTACCATATGTGGAGTTTGTTGAGCTTCTTGGAATTGTAGATTTATATCTTACATCAAATTGGGGAAGTTTTCAGCTGTTATTTTTTCAAATAATCTCTTCCCCTTTCTCTTCCTCTTTTCCTTGAACACCCATAATGTGTATACTGGTTTGCTTAATGGTGTTCCATAGGTACCTTAGACTCTGTTCAGTTTTCTTCAATCTTTTTTAATTCTGTTCCTTAGACTTATCAATTTTAAGTGTTCTATCTTTAAGCTTGCTGATTCTTTTTTCTGCCCGCTTTTGAATCCCTCTAGTGAAATTTTTATTTAATTTATTATACTTTCTAACTAACTACAAAGTTTCTTTCTGATTATTTTTAATGTTTTCTATGTCTTTATTGATATTTACTTTTGCTCACGTTTTCTTGACGTTATCAACATCATCCTTTAGTTCTCTAAGCACCTTTTTAAGACATTTGTTTTAAAGCCTTTGTCTAACAAGGTCATTATTTTATCTGCCTCAGAGATTTTATCTGTCAATTTATTCTTTGATTTTAATGGGCCATACTTTTCTTCTTTGTCTTGAATTTTTTGTTGAAAACTAAATAAACATGTGAATCTTATAATGTGGCCATTCTGGAAATCAGATTCTCCCCCTTCCCCAGGGTTTGATTTTTCAAAATAAATTATTATAGGGTGTTTCTGTATTGGAGTTCAGCCTGAAGTATAAACTTAAAGTTTTCTCAGGGCTTTTCTGAGCCTGAATTGTCCTCTAGGCATGTATAGTGACTTTCTAAATTTCTTCATATATGTGGTAGCTTTTGAATGTCCTAATCCTGAAATGTCTGGCTTCCAAAAGAGGTAAAGGAGAAATACCGGTATGTAGAGAAAAAAAACAGTTGCTGTCTTTATAAATCCCCTTGAAACACTTCAGCCAGTGGGAGTTGCAACAATGGCAGCCTGTTTTTACTTCTACACTTCTACAATTCAAAGCAATAATCCACAAACAGAACCCAGATCCCCAATATTTGGTTGATAAGGTCCTTATTGCCCACTGTGCTTCCTACAAGCTGTCCTAGGAACAGCAGTACAGCTGCATGTTAGCTGAAGCACTGGAGGATGATTAGCTAGTACCATGCTAGGCTAAATTAACCAAAAGAAACCACAATTTATCAGTCAAACTTTCCCCTGTAAGTTGTAAGCATTTGAATATATTCCAAAGCTCCAAAATAGTTACATCAGAAAGATTCTGCCAGTTAAATTGCTGTCCAGAGGGAGAAAGAGATTCCTCCTGGTGCTTCCTACTATACCATTGATATAGTTCTGCATGGCTCCCCACCCCTCCCCTGCTGCCAGCTTTTTATAAGCTAAGTATATTTGGCATTGGGTTAAAAAAAAATAGAAACTCTTCAAGATAGTAGTACTGTTTATGTAAATTATTTTAAATGACTCATCTTTTAATTTTATCTATAATAAATAATACTAATGGTAATTTGATTCACAGATATAAAAAATAGTGATTTTTTTTCCTTCAAAACATTTTTTTAAGCAATATTAGTATGAAACCATTTTTGGCACCCAAGGGAAAAATTACCACCTCCCCCAAAGCAGTGCATGTGTTTGTTAGAGTAACATAATTGAAAGATGGGCTATTGAGAATTACAATGACAAATCTCTTTATAAAATGAAAACTGACAGTTTTTCTTTTTATAATTTAGCTATTTCTTATGATATAGAGATATATCAATGAGTCAGTCTATAAAGGACCTCATAACATTTCTATGATTTGTGTGATGTTTCTAAAAAGTGTGTGATATCTCTAAAAAACTAAGTATAGATGATAAAGCAAGTTAACAATAAAACTGAGAATAAAACCCAGGACAAATAATTTCTTAATGTATAACTACAGTGGTTGCTCTATTATTTCTAATGAAACTTAGAGAAAAAAAACAGTATTTGATCTCTTTAAAAAATTAGTAGAGAATAAATTATAGATCTAGGGAAGTTATATGCTACTAATTGATGGGCAGTTCAATTAGCTACTGGAACAGGAAGTACTATATCTAGTTAAATAACTTGCCCAAGGTAACACGGCTAGTAAATGCTAGGATACGAAGTGAGAAATCTGATTTTAAGACTAGAGCTCTTTCGGTGTTGGTAAAGTTGGAAAAAGGTATCCATTGCTTTTCTCTCATACTGATTTTGGAAAGAATACAAAGGGCGACTCTGATGCCTCTGAATGTAAATAATAGTGGGCAGATTGAGCACAGAAGTCATAACATGAACAGCAGCCTTTAATGGGGCTAATCCCAGTTGTGGAGCTGCAAAACTGTGATGATGGTGGTTTTAATACCTAAAACCCAGAAAGAAGGCCTTTCTCTTGAGGTAATGGAAATGGAACAAGGAGTTCCTGTTGTCTAAAGAGCTAAGGTGGATGGAATCTCTCTCTCTTTTTTCTTTTGCCTCTTTGTCCTGACAGTGTCCTGGTTGTGTAGAACTACATAACAAACGGGGTTAATATCCTGTAAGAAATCTCTTCTGGACAGATGAACTGAGAATGAGAGCCCCTGAAAGCTGGAGACTGTGGCGACATTCTTAGAAAGGAGAGAGCTAAAGAAGGTGGATCCCCTAATTTTGTGTATGAACTGGCACAGGCCCCAGGCTCATCCCTGAGGGGTGAATATGTAGAACAGACTCAAAGAAATATAAGGCTTTAAAATATAAATATATTAATAATATACACCAGTGCTCTAGCCTCAAATTCATTCCTGGTTCATGTGTTGGGCAGACCACAGAAACATAACAAAGGCTGAACAACTACTATAGGTGAGACAAAATTGGCAATCTAAAGCCAATCAGATTGATTGCTAAAGCTAACATTCTCCACAGGATTTGGATAGAAGTTAAATATAATATTTTACTTACAATATAATATTTAAAATGTCCAGGATATAGTCCAGAATTACTCAATATAAAAAGAACCAGGAAAATCTGACCAATTCTCATAGGAAAAGAAATCAATAGATGTCAACCCTAAGGTGAGGCAGATATTAGAATTGTCAGGAGAATAATTTTAGGCAGATATTATAACCATCCTCCATGACATAAAGGTCAATACTTTTGAAATAAACGTAAAAGAAGTTCTTAGCAGAGAAATATAAATAATAAAAAAATAGCCAAATGGAAATTTTAGAACTAAGAAAATAGAATATCTAAAATAAAAACTTTGCTGAATATGCTCAAAGGCGGAATGGAGATGCAAAAGAGGAAAAGTTAATAAATTTGAAGATAGATAATAGAAATAATCAACAAAAATATAGAAAAAAGACATAAAAAAATGAATAGAGCCTCAGTGACCTGTGACATATTATCAAAAGATCTAAAATTCATGTTATAGGAGTAATAGAAAAAATATTTTAAAAAACTAATGGCCAACAATTTCCCAAATTAGGTTATAGACATAAATTTACAGATTCAAGAAGCTCAGTGAAACCAAAAGGATAATCTAAATGAAATACCCAGACACATAATAATCAAATTGCTGAAACCAAAGATAAAGAAAAAATATCTTCAGAGTTGCCAGAAAAATATCACCCATTACACATAAGAGAAGGGCAATTATAATGACTGTAAATTTCTCTTCAGGAATTGTGGAGCCAGAAGACAGTGGAATAAGAATTTTTAAAAATGCTGAAAGAAAAGAACTGTCAACCCAGATTTTTGTATTTAGTGAAACTATATTCTAGGAATAAAGGTAAGATAAAGGTATTTCCAGATGAATGAAAGCTAAGAAAAGATTTTACCAGCAGACATGCTCTAAAAATTAGAACTCTAAAACAATAACAACACAAAAACAATGATCAACATTTATGATTTAGTATGAATCAATGTTGTTTTAAGTGCTTTCAATGGATTAACTCCTTTGATCCAAGAAATTTGCTATTATTAAAATCTTCATTACACAGATGACAAAACAAAAACAAAAAAGATATTAAGTAGCTAGTAAGTGAAGGAGCTAGTGTAGAACCCATGCAATCTGGCTTTGGAGATGATGTTCTTAGTCATTACTTCATAGTATCTCCCAACTTAATTGTACAAACAAGTTGAAGAATATTAAGTTCCCCACATATATGAAAACCATTTGAAACAGAAATAATGATTTAAAAAACTATTTTTATTTAATGCTAATGTCCAGAAATAAACATAGGGAAGATAAGGCACCAACTTGATGCATTACTTTACCTGAAAAAAAAATGCTATTAGAACTAGGGTGAAACACTGATTTATCAACAGTAACCATAAAAATAAACATTTTTTTAGTACTTACTATGTTCCAGAAGTTGTTTTGGATTGTAACAACTTTATATAAAAGTGAATAAGATAATGCTCCTACTCTTAATGATTTTCTACAAATTGGGTAATACAGATAAGTAAATAATTACTTACAATAGTGCATGACATGTTCTATAATAGAAGCATGTAAAAAGCCCAAAGTGCATACAAAACACAAAGGCTATAGAAAGAAAGCACCAATCTAATCATGACTGTTATAAAAATAATAATTTTTAAAAAGGCTCGGAGAAGCACAAAAAAATGAACATTCAGGAAAAGATTCCACAGTTCCCTTTTCCACAACTAATGTAGACTCCTATCTCTGTTCCAAAATATGTAAACATACTGTCAGTTAATCAGCAGTGCACAGAAAGAAAAGCCAGAAGAATGTGCTCCATGATGTGTATATGTATTAATTTTCAAAGCCTTCAGGATAAAGATCAGGGACTTATTCCAAAGTAATTAGAAGCAGCTCCTGCTAATTAATTTTCCACTCACTCAGCAGTCCAGTGCTCAGTAATTATGGGGATACAGAAGGGAGAGGAGAAATTAATCCAGAAAAACCTATCAGTAAGATGAAAAGCAATATTTCTATACTGGATCAAGAAAGTTATATTTAAGTTAAAGAATTACTTTAATAGTCACAAAGAATAATTTCTCCAGTTAAACTGTGAGATCCTTAAGGAGAGAAGCATTCTTTCTATCCTTAGAATCTCTAATGGTTATTATGGAGCCTGGCAAATAAGCATATTGTTTTTCTGAATTAAAATTTTATTATCAAATAATTAACAAGAGATGAAGTTTAATTCTTTCTGAGATCAGACAAGATCAGGCATGTTTAGGGTATGGTTATCTTGAAGTTTAATTCTTTCTTGACTATATTTTATTAGAAAGAGTTCTTTTATGTTCAAAAACTACTCAGTTCCATAGGAAAAAGGGATTCCTTGTCCTCATTAGTGTAGGTAATATAGTTAGGGTTAAAAAAAGACCAGTATAAAAGAATCAACTTGAGTTCCTTGTAGACCAGCATGAACTTTTAAATTTAAAGTCTCGGGCTGGGTGCAGTGGCTCACGCCTGTAATCCTAGCACTCTGGGACGCCGAGGGGGGCGGATTGCTCGAGCTCAGGAGTTTGAAACTAGCCTAAGCAAGAGCAAGACTAAGACCCCACCTCTACTATAAATAGAAAGAAATTAATTGGCTAACTAATATATATAGAAAAAAATAGCTGGGCATGGTGGTGCATGCCTGTAGTCCCAGCTACTCGGGAGGCTGAGGCAGGAGGATCGCTTGAGCCCAGGAGTTGGAGGTTGCTGTGAGCTAGGCAGATGCCATGGCACTCACTCTAGCCTGGGCAACAAAGCGAGACTCTGTCTCAAAAAAAAAAAAATAAAATAAATAAATAAATAAATAAATAAATAAATAAAAAAAAATAAAGTCTCTATCACACTGCTTTAATTCTTTATTTGCTCTAAAAAAATTAAATGTTATAGTGCATGTGACAGCCAAGAGAATACAGTAACTAGTGACCAATCCACATTCTCCTGTATTTCTGCTTCAAGTGACTGCCATTGATGGGATATAAACTTAGTCTAAGTAACAGAAAGAATATGATGACTCATATTCCTTATAATTATATGTATATTTATATTCATATTGTATACAGGATATATATATGATTATAAATTATGAAAGCCTGAAATTATAAAGTTGCTATGTATTTTTAGATTGCTCTGAGATCAACTGTATATTAATGAATGGTCATTAAATCAACAGATTTTATGTTGACACTTTTACCTTTAAGATATATACACTGTCTTCATTTAGGGGATTTTAATCTAAGAGTTGCTAAAATAGTAGCAAATAACTAAATGATCACATTGAGGATATATGTCAATATCTATTCAACAAAGGCATAGTTTTCAATATACTATGTTAATATGGTATTATTAATATAATAATTTAAATATACCAACTTGCCAAGAATGAAAAGATTATCAATATAAATTGAGCTTTTTTAATAACACATCAACATGCTTATTTATAAATTAGAATAAAAGTTCCTAATCTGTGTGAACAGTTATTTTAATAAACTCTGCTGTTTAATTAGTATTTAGCTACAATTGATACATATCAATTGTTGATTAGAAACAATTACAAAAAAGAATAACTTTACATTTTAATAAACTGAACTTTTCCCTGGATTAGGATTGACAAGTTTTTCCAGTAATATAACATTTTCTAAAAGTTTAACACAGCAAGCAAAATGAAAACAAAAATAAAAATACGAATAAAAATACAAGTAACATGAGGTGTGGAAACTGTGCCTGAGATTTAGCTGGACAGAATACTAAGACTCTTAACTGTGGGGGGAAAAGGGCCAAACTTAAGTTTGTGAGTAAAAGTTTTTAGATTTATCAGTCTATTGTATTGATTAGTGGTAAGGAATTAACTTTCTTTGCAACATGTTGGTGACTTTCTTACCTAGAGAGCATGCCCAGAGGTGTAACATTAAGTGATCCCATCAGCATTGCCAGGGCCATCCCTGGCGCTTCCCGTTCTATTACTTCTTTTGTGGCCTGTAATTAAAGATTAAATAGCAGACTGAGTGAAATTAGCCAAAAATGAAGGAAATCAGAGTAAAATCCACTTAAAAAGAATTGTAAACCAGGCTCTCTATACACCATACTTTGTAGTTCCCCAAATGTGTATCTTTTTTAAGGCATCCAGATTCAACTTTTTAGGGCCACTGAATAAAAGCTGAGGACCAAGAAAATCCAGAGAAGTTTTATACTGTATTACTAGTTCTTTCTTATTTCTTACAGCTCAGAAGTATTTGAAAGAAATCTCATCTCACCTAATAACCTAAATTCCAAAAATAAAGACTCATATTACTGTAATAGCTAAATAAATGTTTAAAAGAGTAAAAAATCTGGGTATTTTTCGTTGCCTATCACTTTTGAAATAATTAGTCCCTGAAAACCTGAGATAATCTATATCTTTCCTACTTCTATGATTAAAAGTAACTCAAGAAGTCATCAAGTCAACTTTCCTCATGTATAGGCTAAAAGAACAACTCTATGTTTACCAGCTTCCATATCTTCAATATAAATTAACTATCTGATTTTTTTAAAAAAGAACTAATGAAGTAATAGACTTTAAATATATGCTAGCAGTTTTAGGATAGGGCATTCTCAAGACAAGTATAGTTAAACCTGGAATAGGCTAATGAAGGAGATAGGAAACTTTCATTTTCTAAGTGTCAATCAAAATAGGTATATATTTCACTAGTAATATAATGGTCAAGATACATTTTAGGGTAACAGGTAGGGGGAAAACACATGACTTAATCCATTTCTAGACCTCTGTTTCTATAAATGAAGCAAGTTACAATAATTGGAAGCAATATAGGAAAAAAGTCTGCAAAATAAAGTATTCCAGTAAATAAGAGGAAAGGGAAACAAAATAAAAAGTAAATTACGGAAGAATATAGAGAAAGGTTGATATTTCAATATTTAGAAGTAGAATGATAAATCCTAAATAAGATTTAGCTCTAGGCAAAAGTTTTGCTCTGGGCAAAAGTTGAGAATTTGGCAAAGCAGTTAAAATGAATCAAATATGTATTAGATGCTAACTGTTTAAAATAAACTTTAGAATGCATATAAATTAGGTAGTTAATGCCTTATAATTATATACAGTACAGAATTACCAGAATTGATGCAATCTATTGGTTCACTAAACTCCAGCATAATGCAATATTAAACAATGGCAGAAATTTTGAAGGAAAACTAAAAAACCAAAATAATTCCCAATAAAACCTGCTTTAAATATAGGGGGCCAGCAGATAGCAGAAAAAGAAATTCTTTTAATTTTTAAATTATTTATTTATTTATTTTTTACCTCACTTTGGCTACAGAAATTCTCAAATTCCTAGCTTTGAGAGTTATTACCATTTAAGGACACACCTAAAAGATGTTAAGCTAACATTGACTACACCCTATTCCTTATTTTCCAAAGTCAATCTATCTGGTATGATTTTCAGATCTCCCAAGAATAAATACTATTTCTATTTTATAGATTGTTTTTATTGAGGTTTATAACTTCTTAGGGACCTTAATTCTTAGAGTCCTAAAAAAATCAAGCAAGGAGATATTATTAAGAGCAATATTAAAGGAGCACCTTGGATAGAGTTAATATTTATTTCATTACCTGCTTGAAAAAGTCATATAAGCAATGGTTGACATTTAATGAATTTGAGGGTGCACATAAAGATGATGTACCACAAAGTAGCACACTTTATTTAGGGATACGAAGGGAAATAACAACAGCTAGCTGAGAGGGAGTATTTAATTTAAAATTGATACTTCAAAGCACAACATTTATCCATTTAAATAAGCAAGATGTGTTAAGCATCTACTATGTACTAGGTAGCATTTTAAGCATTGACGCTGGAGTAGTGAATAAAACAAACTTCTGAGTGTATAAACTGTCAACCAGTACATTAAAAACTCACTTGACAAATTACCTATGAGAATTGCCTAAAAGAGATACAGTTTTTAAATTTTTCTAGATGCTCTAAAATATATTGGATTTGGCCAGACCACTGGAGAGCGATCTACCTGTAATGCCTTATTTTACTTTTTATAGAATTGTTTTATTGGGCTTTGTTTTTGTGATATGCAATTAATTCAATAAAATGGCTCAGTGAAACTCTTATTTACATTAGGAAGTATTTGAGGCCATTATTCACCACATTACACACACGGTGGTCTTCTTAAGGATGACCTATAGAAGAAATTTCCTCTCAAGTGTTATATCTAGGAATGGATACTCTTCTGTACTACCAGTTTGTTTTTAAATTATGATGCTTGTGAATCAAGTTATCCTTGAGAACAGAGATAAGATTGTGGATACCTTTCAGTGGGCATACTGAACACAAGCTAATTTCATCTTATTTTTCCTTGTCCAATTTTTGTATATTGATATTTTGTTTCATTTAAATTGTTATGTTTATGTATTTCAATGAGCCATCTAAAATATTTTTAGGGTATAAATAAATATATGGATGGAGAGGTGGGTGAATGGATAAATGTATGTACAGTTGGCCCTCCATGTCACGGGTTCCGCATCTGTAGATTCAATCAACTGAGGATTGAAAAGACAGTATTTGGGGGTTCTGCATGTCAGACTGTATTCTTTGCAAAAAGCTCTTCATCTCTTTCTAAACATAATTCAAGGAGAACAGTTAATTGCTTCTGAAGCTCTTCTAGAAAATTTGGGCCTCTAAAAACACAAATCTTACATATTTTAGAACATAAAAAGAAAAACTGTATTGTGGTGATGCCACAGAAAGGTGTTGGTGCTAATGGTAGTGAGTTGTTTGATGTGGGGAGATGTCGACTTTGTATAGGATTAGACATATACTGATATTTTCAATAGAGTGTTCCTAAATAATGCACAAATATAGACTCTTACATCTGTATCATCTACATCTTTTCTATTAAATAGTAAAACCCTTCTAGTTCCTTTTTATTTATTCTTCCTCTTCAGGTGTTTGGTGTGGTAGAAAGATTATCATTTGTGAAGTCAGACAATGCCACTACATAGTTAATTCCTATTCTCATAGATATGAGAAGAGGAATTGGATCTGTTCTAGCACCTAGCACAGTGCTCAACATGTGTGTGCTCAACAAATATTTGTTGAATAAAGAAATGAATGAATAAATGAACCAATCTAGATTTGAAACCTGGCTTTCCTATGAAGTTGCTCTGTGAATTAGAAGAAAATATTTACCTTATCTGAGATTCAGTGTACTTATGAATAAAATGGAGATACTAATAAAACATACCTACCTACATCTTACAAGAGGGGGTGAGAACTAAATGATAGAAGTCAATCACCTGGCATAGAGTAGGTACTCAATATATGTCAATTCTTTCTATGCTTCTACTTTCTAATTCTCCTTATATCCTTGCAGTTTTGATCATATCAGTTAGAGAACAGGAATAATAAAAAAAATCCAGAAACTACCCAAACAACAGTTTAGAACCAAAGATGAAGGAAAGAGAATAGAGAGCAAGAGTCCAAATGTAGAAGCATTGGCAAGTGCCAGGCAAGAAGTAGAATACTAAAATAGTAGGAGGGGCAAAAGGGTAGAGGCGAAGTGGGAGAGAGGCACTAGAAGGGAAGAAGGAAGAGAACTGAACATCAAATTATACACATTATCCTTGATGCTATGAAAAGATGCTAGTATATTTAAATATTGACATAGTATATAAATTTTTAAGAAAAAATTTGCAAAATCTTTGCCTGGCTGTATAAACTGTATATACATGACATTGAGGTATATTTCATAACATAAATACCAATAAATATTGCTGAAAGTAAAAAGAAAAATACATGGGGTTGTTTTATTCTAAGTTAGGGAGGAAGCAGCTGAATGAGTGGGGATTGCAAGATGGACAAGAGAGCAAGGGCTGAGTACAAAGATCTATAAGCCGTATATGGGGAGGCACAACTAGAAGGTAAAGTGCAAGAGAATTTTAAATACAACAGGAGAGTGTTTTCTCATATGTTTTTGGCCATTAGTCTATCTTCTTTTGAAAAGTTTCTGCTCATGTCTTTTACCTACTTTTTAATGGGATTGTTTGATTTTTTTCTTGCTGATTTGCTTAAGTTGTTTATAGATTCTAGTTAGCTCTTTATTGGATGTATAGCATGCAAATATGTTCTTCCATTTTGTAGGTTGTCTATTTGTTCTAATGATTGTTTCCTTGGCTGAAGCTTTTTAATTTGATCAGGTCCCATTTATTTTTTTGTTGTTATTGTTGTGATTGCTTTTGGGGTATTCTTCATAAATTTTTTGCCTAGGCCAATGTCTATTAGAGTTTTCCCAACATTTTCGACAGAATTCTTATGTTTTCATGCCTTAGGTTTAAGTCTGCTATCCATAATGAGTTGATTTTTGTGTGTTGAGAGGTGCAGATTCTGTTTCAGTCTTCTACATGTGGCTATCCAATTTTCCCAGCACCATTTATTGAATAGGGATTCTTTTCCCCAGTGTATGTTTTTGTAAGCATATGAAAAAATGTTCAACATCTCTAAACATCAAGGAAATGCAGCATCTGTAATCAGGAGGGAAATACAAATCAAAACCACAATGAGATATCACTTAACTTGAGTGAGACTGGCTTTTATCAAAAAGTCCCAAAACAACAAATGTTGACATAGATATGGAGAGATAGGAACACTCCTACACTGCTGGTGGGATTGCAAACTTGTACAACCTCTATGGAAAGTAATCTTGAGATACCTCAAAAAACTAAAAGTAGAACTACCAGTTGACCCAGCAATCCCGCTACTGGGTATTTACCCAAAGGAAAAAAAGACATTTCAAGACACCTGCACGTGAATGTTTATAGTAGCATAAATCACAATTGCAAAGATGTGGAAATAACCCAAGTGACCATCAATCCATGAGTGGATTAATAAAATGTGGTATATGGATACCATGGAGTACTACTTAGCCATAAAAATGGAGAACTAATACCTCTTGTATTAACCTGGATGGAGCTGGAG